ACACCCTTCACAATAGCCACAAATAGCATAAAAATCTCGGAGTAGCTCTAACCAAACAAGTGGAAGACTTGTATGACAAGAACTTTAAATCTTTGAAGAAAGAAATTGAAGAAGACGTCAGAAAATGGAAAGATCTCCCATGCTCATGGATGGGTAAAATTAACATATGAAAAATGGCAACCTTACCAAAAGCAATTTACATATTCAATGCAATGCCCATCAAAATCCCAGCAAAATTCTCCAAAGACTTCGAAATTTTCAGCTTCATATGGAAAAAAAATAGTCAAAACAATCCTGTACAATAAAGAAACCTACAGAGGCATCACCATCCTTGACTTCAAACCCTACTACAGAGCTACGGTAATGACAACAGCCTGGTATGACATAAAAATAAAAAGGAGGACCAATGGAACCAAATCAAAGATCCGTATACCGATCCACACACCCATGAACACCTGATTTTTGACAAAGAAGCAAAAATTATAAAACAGAAAAAAAGAAAGCATATTCAACAAGTGGTGCTGGCATAACTGGATATTAACACGCAGAAGGATGCAAATAGATTCATGTCTATCACCATACACAAAACTCAAGTCCAAATGGATCAAAGACCTCAACATAAAACCAACCACACTGAGCCTCATAGAAGAGAAAGTGGGAAGTAGCCTTGAATGCATTGACACAGGACACCACTTCCTAAATATAACCCCAGTAACACTGACACGGAGAACAACAATTAATAAATGGGACCTCCATTTATTGTGAAATTCTTCTCACAGAAACTGAGAAGCTTCTGTGAAACAAAGGACATGGCTCACAAGACAAAACTACAGCCTACAGAATAGGAGAAGGTCTTCACCAACCCACATCGGACAGAGAACTGACCTCCAGTATACAAAAATAAAACTCAAGAAATTTGACATCAAAAGAACAAATAATCTAATAAAAAATGGGGTACAGATCTAAACGGAGAACTCTCAACAAATGAATCTCATGACTGAAAGACATCCAAGGAAATGTTCAACAGCCTTAGCCATCAGAGAAATGCAAATCAAAACAACTCTTAGATTCCATCTTATACCTGTCAGAGTAGCCAAGATCAAAAACACTGATGACAGCTTATGCTGGAGAGTCTGTGAAGCAAAGGGAACTCTCATCCATTGCTAGTGGGAGTGCAAACTAGTCCAGCTTCATTGGAAATCAGTATTGCAGTTTCTTGGAAAATTATGAAGCAATCTACCTCAAAACTCAGTCATACCACTTTTGGGTATGTATCCAAAGGATTCTTGGTGTGGGAAGTCCTTCTGTATATGTGTTGCTTTTATTGGTTAATAAAAAAGCTGGCTTTGCCTGTGATAGGGCAGAGTGGAGCTAGGTGAGTGGGAGGGGCAGAACAAAACTGAATGCTGAGAGAAAGAGGGTGGAGTCAGAAGATGTCATGTAGCCACCAGAGGGGAAAGACCAGAGCTGCAGTTGGAACCTTGCTGGTAGGTCACAAGCCTCATGGTAAAATATAAAATAATGGAAATGAGTTAATTCTATATGTAAGAGCTAGCTAGCAATATATTCAAGCTATTGGCCAAACAGCTTGATTATTTCGGGTACCTGGGTGACCGGGAAATGAACAAGCGGCCTTCTCCAACAGATGCTCAGTCTTACCACAAGGACATATGCTCAACTATGTTCATTGCAACATTATTTGTAATAGCCAGAACCTGGAAAAAGCCTAGATGCCCCTCAATCAAAGAACGGATAAAGAAAATATGGTACTTTTACATAATGGAGTACTACTCAGTGGAAAAAAGCAAAGCAAAACAAAACAAAACAATATCTTGAAATTCGCAGGCAAATGGATGGCCTAGAAAGAATCATATTGATTGAGGCAACCCAGACCCAGAAAGACAAATACAGTATGAACTCACTCATAAGTGGGTTTTAGACATAAAGCAAAGAAAAATGAACCTATAGTCTATAACCTCAGAGAATCTAGACAACAAAGAGGACCCTAAGAGAGACATACATGGAACTACATAGGAAGAAGAAAAGGACAAGATCTTCTGAGTAAATTGGGAGCAGGGTGGCCATGAGGGAGAGTGGAAGGGAAGTGGGAGGAAGGGAGGAAAGTGGAGAAATATGTATAGCTCAATAAAAATAATAAAAAAACCAGTGTGGAACAAACAATTTACCTGCATTTTATTTAGTGGAAAATAACTTTTGTAGGCTCTTTATCAGTAAGAGATTATTTTTTATGGACGTTTACCTTAGTAACCACATTATTCAATAAGCTAACAACCCACTCTGTTTCAGGTGTTACATTTTTAGAGAAATTAACCAAGATTTTCCAGAAAGCAACTTAGAGCACAGAGCCAAATTTTCAGTAATGATACACAGGCAAAAGCTTACCCAATAAAAATAGTTTAAAATCATGAAAAAAAGATGGAGGATGCTCTTTTCCCATGGAGAGGTAAACTGAGGCAGGCAGGCAGGGAGCAGGGCGGCACTGTGATACCATCAAAGAGGCTCTCATTCTGGAATTCTGAGGCTGGAAGAATTCAGAGGAATATGGACCTTGCATCTCAACAAGTCTGCTTAGGGCTGAACAGGAAGGCCACGGGAAAACTGAGGGCTCAGTAGGGTCCTCTTTCAAAGTATCTCCCCATTTGTGGAGTTACCTAACTCCTGTAAAGAGGGCTGGAGCCGGTTAGCAATTCCCCGGGGTTCCATTGGATTCATTGTCTTTGAGGACAAGAATGAGACAGAGTTGTTGAAGACCACAGAATATCCAACTCAGAGGAGAGCAATAGGCTCCCTCTGTGCTTTCTGGCCAGGATGCTACAATAGTCCTTCAGATGAAGGAGTTTCTCTTTCACACACATTTTCTATTCTTTTGTCAGGAGAAAATAATTGCTTTAAAAATTAAATGCAAGCATTTAATTTCTCTTTAATTTAATTTAAATGAGGCATTTAAAATTTAATTTAAATCTTAAAAATTAAAAGATGCATGTATGAACATATTAATATATGTGAATAATACTAATATTATAATACTAATAACACAGAGAACCTCAAAATTGCACTTTTAGGGAGATGTCTACATGTATATGTCATACTTGAATGAAAAAAGGAATAAAAACTTAAAAAAGGAAAGGAAAGGACATGTCTGCTCCTAGGTATGGTGGACGAGAAAGTTTATTACAGATAAAAGGGCGAGCATAGCCAGAGGCGGGGCATCTGGGCGAATACAGAGTGGACGTGACCACGCTGAGCCACATGGTGAGAGGCGGAGGGGAAGGGAGAGAGGGAACCAGGTTCAGAGGCCAAAGAACAAAAAAAACCCAGCTAACCAAACTTCTGGATTATGTAGGGAAGAGCCTCTGGGGGAAGGGCAGCCCAGGCCCTGGGCTGGAGAGTTCAGGGTACCATAGCGGGTGTGCCAGCCATAGCCTGTAACAGGTGGTGACTGAGGGATGCTGGGGGAACCTGGAGGTCAGGTCTGCTTTGATATGGGCATCAAATGGGCATCTCAGCCATTTGTCCTGGATCTGAAACTTAACAATACTTACGTTTGTACATAAAATATATTTTTTCTTTTTTATTTAATTAAAATATAATTACAGCATTTCCCCGTCTTTCCCCTCCCTTCTGTCCCATCTGTGTCCTCCTCCAAACCTCAGGTCCTACTCTAACTATTGTCCAAACATATAAATGGGAAATTATAGGAAAGCCTCCTGAGTTCATTCAGTATTGCCTACATGCATATGTTTCTAGGGCTAACCACTTGGAATTGGATAGTTGTCTTAGTGTGATTTAGAAAAAAAGCGGCGTGTGAAGAGAAAGATGCTACGCAACAGAGCGCTCAGGTGGAGAGGTTTTTTTTTATTGGGGGAAAAAGAATGGGAAAGGGGGCAGGGAAGAGGCGAGACCTGGCCTTTGGGGACAGGCCTGACAGAAAAGGAGATGGAGAAGGAAAGAGAGAGGGATAAAGACAGAGACAGAGACAGAGACAGAGACAGAGACAGAAAGAGGGAGAGATGGGAGGTGGGCAGGGAGCTTTTAAAGGGGAACACGGAGAACGTGCACAGGCGGTGCTCTTAGTGGCTACAGCAGAGGACGTACATCCTAAGGTCAGACCAGAACAGATGCCTAAATACTAAGACTTAGTGTTTCTATTACTACGATGAAACACCGTGACCAAAAGGCAAGCTGGGAAGGAAAGGGTTTATTTAGCTTACACTTCCGCATCCCTGTTCATTATCAAAGGAAGTCAGGACAGGAACTCAAGCAGGTCAGAAACTTGGAGGCAGGAGCTGATAGAGAGGTCAAGGAGGGGTGCCCTTACTGGTTGGCTTCCCATGGCTTCCCCAGCCTGCTTTCTTATAGAACCCAGGACCACCACCCAGGGATGGCCCCAACCACATAAATCACTAACAACAACAACAACAACAAAATGCCTTGTAGTTGAATCTTACAGAGGCGTTTTCTCAGCCGAGGTTCTCCATTTTCAGATACCCCTAGCTGTGTCGAGCTGATGTAAGACTAGCCAGCACAATAAGTAAGCCAAAGGCTCATCCCTGGGAAGACCAAGTCTCCACCTTTCAACAGTTGTCAATTGCTTGCAGTTCTTCCACAAGACATACACACTTGACAGCAAACAAATCTCTGGCATGTGTACAAACTCACGGGGATGAAACAGCTCATTACTGATTGAGGAATGGGCCGAGGAAGAAACCGAGAAAGAAAGAAAATATTCCCTGGCACTAACTGGGAATGAAAACACAAGAAAACTTCTTTAACTGCCGCTAGAGCTACAAGGAGGGGGTGGGGCTGGCAGGGCCTAATCTGAGGGAACCTTAAGTAAGTTTGCTGGCTGATTTTTTTTTTGAGTCTGCACATGCGCACTGAGTACCTTCCTTGCTAGCACACTGGACAGCCCTCCATGGTGAATGTGCGCTGTACCTGGCACGAGCTAGGCGCTGCTTCCTTGTGTTTACCAGCGTTGCTTGGCGACCGCGTTGCCAACTGCAGTTGACACCTAGTAAACCAACACGGAGCTTCCTTACTGGGATACTGTGGCAAGACTTGGCTCTGAGTTTCCTTCGATATTCAAACCTTTAGGAACTGATTTCCTACACATTTTGGTTCTGGGTTTGGGAGAGGCCATCTTGGCATAGTCTCTTATCTTGGGTTGGGAATGCAGGAGAAGCTTAGCGGGAAGGAAGGGACCTGGAAAGCAGACATTTACCATGGAGATATTCTTCCCCAAAAAGGAAAGGACACCCCTGGGATTTTGTGATGGCCTGGATAAGATCTTCGTGGGCTTTGGGAACAAGGACGAGAGAGGCTGCCAGCCGCCCAAATACCACACCAGCTATGCACCTTTCTATCCTATCCACAAGGCTGCAAGCACAGGTGACATAGATACAGTGAAGAGCTTTGTCCAAAAGGGAATTTTTGCCATGGAACAAATAGATTGGAAAAACAGGTAACAGTGGGGTTGGAGCTGCGAGGGAGTGTATGGGTACCTTGGAGGGAGGCGCGATTACTGGCGAGCAGGCCAGCTTCCTGTCAGAGGAGAGTAAAGAGAAGCATCTGTCGTGAATCTTAGACTGCACATCTGAGAAGGATGTCACACCCAACTGGTCCTCATTAACAACGAAACAAACCAAGATCAATGCTCCTGTTCTTGACAGTTCTCCTTCTAGGGCACTTACTGGCCTTCCCAAGGGTTTCAGTAAACTTGTATAATACAGCTTTAGTGTATCCATTAGAGAAGATAAAACATAGCGTCATATAAATTGTGGGAAAGTGCACAAGAGAAATTTCTAGTACATACCAACTTCCCACCTAAAGGTTTTCTTTTTCTTTTATTTTTTTTTCCTTTTTTTTCTTTTGGGTTTTTGAGACAGTGTTTCTCTGTGTAGTTCTGGCTGTCCTGGAACTCACTCTGTAGACCAGGCTGGCCTTGAACTCACAGAGATCTGTCTGCCTCTGCCTCCCAAGTGCTGGGATTAAAGGTGTGCACCACCACTGCCCGTCTGGGTTTCCTTCCTTCCTTCCTTCCTTCCTTCCTTCCTTCCTTCCTTCTTCCTTCCTTTCTTTTTCCTTCCTTCCTTCCTTCTTCTTTTCTTCCTTCCTTTCTTTCTTTTTTTTAAAATAGAAGTTAATATTCACTATGTAAAGTGTATTTCCAGATGTGTACAGGAATGTACATTATTTATTGAGAGAACTTAACAATAGAAGATGGTTTGTGGTCTCATATTGATTTACTATTTCATCTACTTTTGTTATGGGTGCCATGTTCATTTGATCATTTTCTGTACTTGGAGCCTTCCCGCTCACTAGTTTAAACACTCCTGAAGGGCTATTCAGCATCTTCTTGATAAACTAAGCCAGTTTATAGTAAGATTTGCTGATGAGTCCTGGTTTTCCTACAAGCATTAACTCCAATGATTTGTACTACACCATATGGCTCACTGGCACCTTTGACAGTTTTCAGACCATTAACTCATCACTACAGTGTCCAGGTCATTCCTGAGCAGGTGCATGGATCCGTACTGTTGTGTGCCTGCTCTCTCCTCAGATTCCTCTGTATTGGTGCCCTAAGAGGAGGGGGTCCCCTGAGCACTGCCCAGGTCTTACCAGTTCTCAGTCATCAGGGCTGTCACATCTGAAGCTGGGGCCTGGGCACTTTGTTCAGTAGGGTCCCGGCAGGGTGCCTCGACCCTGGCTGCAGGCTTGTTAATAGAAAGAATCTATATCCTAAAATACAGAAACAACTCACATTTGGGGAATGTGGACTCCCGTGAAACTGTCTGCTCTTTGCAAAAAGAGGCAATAAAATGACTTTTCTTCTAAAGAAAATCAAATTTTAAAATTCAGAGTCCTTCAGTGCTTGCTGTCTGGTGATTATAATTGCCTGTGTAAGTTTTGAGAAACTGTCCCTAAAGTTTACACATGTCCCTTTCGTACTTGCAGGACTGCCCTGCATTTTGCCTGTGTCTATGGCCAACCAGAGGTGGTGACGGTCCTGGTGGAGGGCAGCTGTGACATTAGTCCAAAGGACATCAACAACACCACACCGTTAATTAAGGCATGTGACAGCCATCAGTTTCAGATGATGGAAATTTGAAACACGCTTTCATATTAAAAAAAAATGAAGCTATATCTTTTAAATGTAACTAAATGCTGTAGCCTGTGGAACGCTGATCTCTTAACAGTCTGTATGTTGGCGTCACATCCACAGGCTGCACAATGCAGACAGACGGAATGCCTTGATATTCTGCTGAAGCATGGTGCTGACCCGAATATCATGGACTCTCACGACAACACCGCTCTGCACTACGCCGTTTACAATGGGGATGTCGAAACAGCCGCTAAGCTGCTTGAATACAAGGCAAACACTGAAGCAACAAACGAGGTATGCAAAACCCGCCTTTTTATTCTAATATATTTGAAAAACACAGGTTTTAACAGCCATGTGTATGTAGAGTCAATTTTCTGTCTTTTCAAAGCTCTAGTCCTCTAATGGAAATGTTTTGAAATAACCCAACCATTGAAGATGCCACTTTAAATATTGGTGCAGCTTTCTTGAATGCATTTCTGACAAATATTTGGCAGAGCAATGAATTCGCTAGAGCACCAATCTGCCTATTTTTAAGACTGAAAAAAGCTTTTCATTGACTTGTTAAAAATGACACCCAGCGTGAACATTGGCCTTTGCTATTAACTTTATCTTAAATGAGAAAGAAGTGTTTTATGATACAGGAACATCTGGATGCTGCAGACAAGTTATGTTGTGCAATTGATCAAGCTATTGATTGATAAGGCCAAAGGAGGAAAAAGAGAAAGGGAAGTTGATGAGAAATATTCATACAAATTTGGGGATTAGATAATTGAGGAAAAATATGAACGTTTCTTGATTTTTTTGAAAAACGACTCATTTTATGTAGATTTATTCTGTGCTCTTCAGTTGGATGAAAATTCCTAATAAGAGAACATTACTAGTTAACAAGCATACCCAGTGGTAAATTTTAATAGGACTCTGATGAAATTATGAACAGACAGCAATTACACAGAAGATAAAAAAAGAAAAAAGAAAAGAAAAGGAAAATTCAGTGATTCACCATGAAATGAATGACCATTGTCTGACAGAAATTGCTGCTTGGATAAGAGCCTAAAGTCTACTCTCAAATCTCCAATGCTTTGCTTGCACTTTAGAGGTTTTTATACTGCCTTTTTCAATCCAGTTATATTCTGAAATTTCTCTTGGTGCTTCTGCCCAAACCTCGCGAATGAAATGGAGTTTCCAGCAAAGGTGGTGGCATCCAGTTCTCCCTTTTGGCTGTGAGCCACCCTGTGGGTGCTGCACCTGGGACACGGGTCCTCTGGAAGGGCAGACAGTACTCAGTCACTGAACCTCTCCCCAGCCCCAGGAGATTCCTAAAGAACTGTGGATTTCAAGTGGCTCTTAAGGAACCAAGCACGGACTACATAGAGCTCATTTTATTGTCTGACACCTGTGATCAAGTTGTCCCTATTGTCTGAGGCCCAGAGTGCTCCCGTTTGCTAGGGAGCCCTCCAGGTTAGTACCTGTCATCTACTTAGCCTAAACGTGTGTTCTCATGAACAGGTGCTTGATAGTGATTTGTGGTAGAGATTTTAAACTTTCAAAACAGTTTGTAAGAATATAGTGTATTTTGTTTTTATTTTTGTTAGTCCCTTAGAAATGGAATTGGAAGCTGCCAGGCATTGGTGGCACACCTTTAGTCCCAGCACTCGTGAGGCAGAGGCAGGTGGATCTCTGTGAGCTCGAGGCCAGCCTGGTCTACAAGAGCTAATTCCAGGACAGTTAGGGCCTGTCAGTTTCCCCCAAGACAGTTGCACAGAGAAACCCTGTCTTGGGGGAAAAAAGGGGTTGAATTTTAGAAATTAGAAGGTGTTATTTTAAAACGTGTTCTTTGCCCCTGTTGTGAACACATTCATACTGAAATGCCTGATGTACTCTAAAGGTTATGGCAACTGCAAACAAAATTGCACCATTTTGCACCGATGAAGGTGACCTCATAGTTTTCCTAAATGACTTGCTGTGGATTAACCCCTCTGTACACTGTGAATATGGATTACTCTCGTTGGTTAATAAAGAAACTGACGTGCAGGTAGCCACACAAGAAATATAGGCAGGACAGCCAAACTGAGAATGATGGGAAAAGAGAAGGCGGAGTCAGGAGATGCTGCCAGCTGCCCGAGGAAGCAGGATGTGTAGAAAATGAGGCAACAAGCCATGAGTCATGTGGCAAAGCATAGATAGAAATACAGGTTAATTTAGGTGTAAGAGTTAGTTGGTAACAAGCCTGAGCTATGGGAATAGCATTTGTAGCTTATATTAAGTCTCTGAGTGGTTATTTGGGAAGTGGCTACAGCACAGGAAAACTCCATCTAGAGTGACTGATAAGGACGCTAGTGTCTCAGGTTCTGGCACCACACATAAAAGGGAATTAACAAGTTTCTCTGTAGTTGCACAAGACACCTGCTGCATCTCAAAATTCTGAACACTGTGTTCTTTGAACTCTACATCCTTAGATGTTAGTGTCTCCATAAAAGGCATCTTAAAAAATTAGAAATTATGAAAAATAAAAGACATTTCTCTGATGGAGGTCCTGTACTACTACTTTTTTTGTCACATTCCTGGACAGCTGGTCATGCAATATTTTTGTTGGGGCGTGGAACACCCGCAAAAGAGACCTTTCTTTGTAATGTAGGTAGAAATAAAATAAAATATAGGTGGGGAAATTGAACTTATTTGCCAGCAAATATACAGAAAATTTTGCTACCGTGGTTTTTGTTGTGAGTTGTTGAAATGAAGATATAGAATCAAGAAACTTTTGGTAGACAGGAGCAATCCTATGATCCCAAAATACCACACTACATGTTGACAAAAGTAAAAAACTGTGGCAATAGGAAATCTCTGTGTGAATTTTGGAATGAATATGTGTGATCACTCTAGGTAGGGCATTTCATAAAATGGAGAAGCAAATGTGAAAGTCAGTGGGTTCAGGAAGAAATAACAATTTATTATCAGCATTTATGATTATGAGCTCAATGAATGTTTTCATTTCCAACTTATCACTGATTTTGTTTTTGACAGAACAAGATCACACCACTTCTGCTTGCTCTGAAACAAAACAAGGAGAAAATGGCAGAGTTCTTAATCAACAACGGGGCAAATACAAAAACATGTGATTTTCTGGGAAGGTAAAAAAAAGTCCTTGTAGTAATAAAGCCAGTGAGTTTGGCACCATAACGATCACCCAAGCCACGAAGTTAAGTTCATAGGAAGAAGAATTTAACTTTTACTTACTGAGACAACATTAACCTAGATCATCAGTTTGGTACAAAAGAAATTACTCAGTGTGAACAACAAAAGACAGCATACAATAGGGCCTATTTTTCATGATAATATAAAACAATGTTGATTAATTGTATTACAACTTATTCATCAGGTAACTTATTTAGCTATACAAGTCTCATATTTTGTTGGTTTTTAAGATGTTAATTCTAATTTTTGAACAGCAGTATGACACTATCTTTACAGTATTTATCATCCATCCTTGTATACTGCTTCCTGAAAAATGCAAATCTGTTGGATGGCTGTTTCTCTTATATTTCTCTGCAAAATATTGTCTGGATGTCCCTCAGTAACTATTAATTTCTATCACCACACGGTACTTCTACGTTTCTTGTTTTTTTCCCTCTGAATTTATTTTGAAACTTTATTCTTTGGCATGGTCAAAAGAATGAAAAACTACCTTTATTGAATGAGTTTGGATGAGTAAACACCATAGTTGGATGCTAAGAAGAAATCTCAATATTCACACAGGACTGAACCTCAATCTAGCTTTCATGCTTCCTGAACGTACAACCTTAGGAATGTTGCATATCACTCGGTTTATTTCCTGACTCAAAAAACAGGGTCATGCCAGTACATATTATGTGTTATGTGCAATGTAGTCCTAGCATGTGGTCATCTCCTGCAAACACCATTGCTACCATTATTATTAAATTATCTATTTTGTAATTTACTATGATTATGTTAATCATGCAGTAAACTTTTCCCCTTTGATCTTAATCTGATTATGTGTTACAGTATATTATGTCAGGCTAGGGAAGAAACAAATAATTCTCCACTTAAATTGTTACCTGTATTGTTAATAGCCTCAGTATTTGTGAATGAAAGGACATAGAACTATAAATTCTGCTATGTAATTCCATAGCGAGAGAATGGGTTTTCTGTTAACTTTTCCCCAATTTGTCCCAAAGATAATTTACAGGATGAACATTTGAGCTCCCAACACGTGTGTGTCTGTTAGTGGATGGTCAATTCTATATAAACAGTCAGTGTTTCAAACTGCAAAACATATTCAGCGAGGTGTTTAACAGCTTTATTAAAGTACCCGACAGCCAGGTTCTGCCTCTGCTCTTTTAGAAGCACCCTTATGTATGCTGTAAGGTGTGGGTCCGAACTTATCATCAAGCTTCTTCTTCAAAGAGATATAGATACCTTTAAGCAAGACGCCTTCGGCTGGACAGCGAAACGTTATGCTGTTGAAAGTAAAAGCAACGTGTAAGTGTTTACATTCCTTGTTAATTAACATTCAATGGAGATGCAAAGTAATTACAAATACCACGTCTTATCTCTATAATTTAGGTCGTTTTGGAATGGCACTGACAGAGTCCATCTCATTATCTCGATGCTAACCAAAGCTGTAGATGAATTAGAAGAAGCAACGGATACAGCATTCTTTGTCTCGGGATTTATTTATATGTGTGTAGTAGGGTGTGGGGGGGTGGATGTTGACAATTGAACCTGGAACTTCACATGATTTTGTCAAGCATTTTATCCAAGGACTATATAGCTATCTCTTAGGTTAGGACTTTTTAAACTCTATTGGTGAAGAAAGCTTGTTAAACCCTAATCTTGAGAATGTATAGTGATGTCCACCAAAAGAAAGTCAGATTTGAGCCATGTAGAGCTATTGGCAACATCACCTGAAGGAAACACATACATATGCAACAAAAGCATTCCTAGTTCCAGATCTCCATGGACATCCAGCTTCCAAAGCTTGTTATACCCTTCTGCCAGGGCCTTGTTATCTCTGTTGGGTGGGCATTACTGTTTTCTAATGCTGCTGTTGCCTTTTGCCACATAGTGTGCCCCCACCTTTTGCTTTCGGAGAGATAGGACCAATGAGGCATTTTAGAGTCCCTGTGCACCCTAGTGAGAATGAAATATGACAGGGGCTTGGGAAATATGACTACTTATTGATACCAAGAAACCTGAGTGAATTGATGGTCATAAGGACATTTGGAGACCTGGTAGACTCAGGAGCACTTGGACACATGAGTGGATTGGGAATTTGAGGGACCCAGAGGTATTTTGGGATCTGAGTTTACTGGAATTCCTTTTGCATCTGGGGAAATGGTATTTAGGGGGACTTAAAGGCCAGGAGTCATTTAGACTAAGGACCATTGGATATGGTGGGATATGGGAGGACATGGGCATGGACAGGAGATCACTTAACATTTGCATATTGACATCAAGTCCATACTAATGTGCTGTGGGAACTCCTTCAACCAATAGCCTTTAAAATACTAGTCCACTTGGGCATGGTCTCTTATACTATAAATTCAGCTGTAAGCTTGTATGCTCTCTCTCAGCTGTTGGATTTGGTTCCTGTTCTCCATTTATTCAGAGGACTGTGAACTGTGAGTCTACCCCAGGGATAAATAAGCCTTTATTATACTCAATTCTGAGCTAGTGTGGGACTACTTTATAGCATCTACCTCTTCAATGCTTTGCTAGCTCAGGAAATTTTAGACTTTTATCTTTACTGTCTAAAAATTTTGCACTTTTGGTCCATATATAATCCATATATTTGAGGTATGAATAGTTCCACATTGTTTAACTAGCTGTTTAGATTTTGAAGTGTTAAATGAATGATTTTCTTTGATGATTTTTTTTTCATGATGAAGAATAGAATAACTATTAACAAAGCAGGCCTTAATAGTTTTTGGTAATGTCAACATAAGAATATCACATCTTGCGAGGAAATACATGCTGAACATTATTTGGAAGTCTAAGACAGTTCAGCCTTAAGAGACAAATGATCTCTTGTTTCTCTATTTGTCATGTATACTTTATATTACCTTGTTTAATTTTAACAACCTCTTATACAAAAGCAGTAAAGTCATTATTTTTTTTTAGAGGAAGACATCAAACCTAATAGAAATCACATGTCCAAGAGCAAGCAGCTATTGGCTACAAATGTAAGATTTCTTCTGAGTTTAGGATACTTTCCACTATGCTGAGAAAATTTAGTTCATGTATGGGGTTGCTTTTGATTCATGACCATTCTACTTCATTTTTTCTTGTTTAGTTATAAGCTTAATAAAATACAGAACCCACATGTTTGTAGCATATGTTTAAAAGGTCTGATACCAGAATAACAACACCATGGATAATGCCAGAAATACTCCTCTGAGTGTAATGTGACAGGAAAGTGATTTCATATCATTATTGACTGATTTGCCATTCTTTTTGTCCATGGCAGTAGAAAACTACTTATTGACTATGATGAAGAGAAAATGAGACAGACATGTTCAGGTAAGATTTCTGATAGTGAATTACTCTTGGCTTTCCAACTAGAGAAAAGAGCAAGGAAAGTTTGAAAATAAATGTAAATTGAATTGGTATTTATCTTGTTTTCTAAGGATCTAGAGATCAGAATCCTTCTAAAAAATTATATAAAATGTTTAATCCAAAACTCCTAAAATTGCTTTTAGTTAATTTCTTTGAAATATATATCATTGTATAGAAAGAAAAATAATTGTACGAGTGACACATTAAAATTTGAATAGTTAGAAAATGGATTTTCTCTGAAATATTGGAATAAATGTACTGAATTTAGTAAGGGAATATTGTTATATATGATGTAAAGTTCTCTAATCAACATTGAGATTTATTCACTTTGGTTCATAGTCAGTTCTTCATAGAGATCATATTTTTCTATTACTTATCTTGTTCACACTGACATAAACACACTTTCTGTTTTCTTTATGTTAGTTAGGAACAAATGACATTTTCTAAATGTGTTCTAAATGTATTATTTATTGTGTGTTATTCACACATGGCATAGAGGCCCAAAAATGTGAGCCTATCCCATCTTGTCTGAAGGTCAGAGAGTTTGAGCTTGCTCAAGGTTGTTGATAGCAACTGTGGCTACACACCCTGATGTAGGGTTTGGTTACTTGGTGTTTTGGACATTGAGATGACCCATAGAGGTAGATCCACTCCACTCTGAACAGAAGCCAAAGAATTCAAGCATACTTCTGCTGCTTCTTTAGAAATAGGAGGTTTGACCTAGGGAATGACTGCCTTCAGCATACTCTAGGGTAGGTTCACTGCCTAAACAACAGAAAGCCTTTCTCAAGAAATAATGACTTGATGTCTCCAGTATTGGGGCAAGTAGCTGCTCTAGTTTTCCTTTGTATCATGTTAAAGCAGTCTTTTGGCTTCCTCCCCCTTTTGTATTAGGGTATAAAAGTGTATGGAAAATAAATGCGGGTAAATTCAGCATTCGGTATTCATTGAGTTGCCCTACCCTTACTATCCTGTGTCTCCGTGATTCTTTCTTATCTCTATCCCTCCTACTTACCATTTTCTAACACTTGCGTTCCTACCCTGGAATGTACGAATCCACCGAGCCTAGGATCGTGACAGAAGTCACCCCAAAATGGTGGCTCCTGACACCTGGCATGAAAGCAGGAAGGCATGCTAATGAAAGAAGGGAGCAGGATTAGCATGAGGAGGACTCAGAGGGATGGGGAAGAGCAATGTGGAAGGAAGAACAAGAGTACTGTATCACGAAATGTCAAGACTAAACCCGTTACTTTGCGTGTTAACTTTAAAACTGATCAAATGTGCATTCATATGCTCTATTACTGTACTTCTGTCCTGTCACTGTCTTACTTCGAGTTGGCTTCAGAGATAAGTTCCAGGAGCCCCAAAGAGCTACGCTCAGCCACCATTCCAGTTGGGAATATTAAGATTTCCACTAAGTATGAAAACCGGAGAAATCTTCAGTCAGTATACATATTTGGAAGAGGAACACGTAAAGGAACACTAAGCTCATCTTCCGCATCTGGGCACAGATGTAGGTACAAATGATGCAGCTGAAGAGGCTCCATCATTCAGAAGTCATGGTCAAGGTGTGTCTGAAGGACATTGTACTAGTTCTGCTCTGTAAAGTGGTCTTGAGAGAGTCCTTTTTGGTTGAGGGGACAGGCTGCTTTACAGGGCACAGTTGGTCATGTTCCAGCGACAGCCTTGCCATCACGGATGACTCCCTTTCTTGGGGAATAGGTTTATCGTGCAAGGCTCTCTTGTCCCCAGGAAAAAGGTTTCACAGGATCCGTAGGAGTCTTTAGGCACCGTTTGAGAACCTTGATTGGGAGACTGTTTAATACTGATAATACGTTGTCTCGGTTACTCTTTGTGGAATTCAGGAATAAAGAGGAATGACTGAGGTCGGGCATGCCTATGTTTTAGAAGGAAAGTTCTTTAGGGTTTAATACGCCTGTGTGCCAAGGTTGGCAGCTGACACAGCACACAGGAAAAAGACTTCAGATGGAGAGCTGTCGAGGCTTGTTCGCATTTTCAGTTACACCGCAGGACCAAGTGAGCTATCAGTGCCCTTTAGCCCATTTTCTAAGTGTCTATTGCATCCTGATGAGTTAGCAAAATTAAAACACTTGATTAGAACCACAGACACGAGGATTCCGTTCCTTCCTGTGTCTTTGCAAGTGCTAACCCCTTTGTTGTCTACACGGATTGACTGCACCTCCTTTTGCTTTGTAGAGATCACCAGGAAAAAGGCTTGCTCAACGGTAATGACTTTGATAGTTTTCCTGAATTACTAAGTAGATACCATATGCAGTATTTAACACTTAGCAATTATCCTGTTTCAAAGCCCTTCCTGCCTACCTCGAAAGTGAAGGATGCTCTTCAAAGTAAAGAAGTGGAAAAGTCAGAGGCGAAACCATCCCAGTCAAGTAAGATTTTCAGTTTAAGTTATTTGGAAAGAAGTAGGTGAAAAATTAATGCTCCCAGCCTACCCGTTCCTAAGGCTACCATCCCCAAAGATGGTGTAAACTGCCGCAGCCAATGAAGTGGTCGTTCCAGGCACCAATATTTTAGAAAAAGGTCTTTATTAGTACATGAAAGAGATGGTGACAAATAGGTGTTTTGACTTAATTTTATCCTTTCGTGTAGCTTTGGAGCCTGCTCCGGAACTTGCTCTGTAAAGGCTTGCGCCACGGCTACTCAGCTTTCTTTTATCTTTTCTGGGCAAGTGTTAAATCGAGTCCCATTTGCAGGTTAAGCCACAATCTACACCCAACTGCCCTTCCGTTGTTCTCTGTTCTCAATGAGCTTAGGGAAATGAGAACCAGAACATTTAGAGAAAAGTACGAGAAAGCGTTCCTTCAATACCAGCAAGGAAAGTGGTTCCCTCTCATCTCATCTTACAGCTTTAAAACATTGCGTACTGTTCATTCTTGTGTGTGAATGAGCGTGCGTGCGCGCGTGTGCGCACGCACACACACACACACACACACACACACACACACACACACACTTGCAGGGCATACAGAGGCACACATGTGGAGGTCAGAGGACAACATTGGTAGGAACAAGTTATCTCCTTCAGGTATGTTAGTTTCCGGGATGCAGCTCATGATATCGGGTTTCACAGCAAGAGCCTTTACTGATGAGCTGGACTACACGAGCAGCACAGGTATTTAATATTAACGACCAGGTTTGAGTTCTTCAGGGAATGACATTTGTTCACCTTTTAAAATGTTAATAAAGTTGTTCTGCCGTGGAAATAGATAAATTCTTGTCACACGTTTCGTGAAGCTTTACCTCAATTTTGGCCAGCTTCATCCTCATTTTGTTATTCTACTATTAACTCTCCGGGCTCTGACCATTCCTGTGAACTTCACGTCCATCTTCACCACATTTAGAGTCATAAATCACCATGGAAAACGTGAAGAGAAAAAACAAAAACATGCTTTGGAAAATTAATGGCTAAGGCTCCAAAATACAAACTTCCATCATTTCAGTGTGAGGCTGGTTATTGGCATAATCTGCATCCTTAACCTTCTCTTCTGGACCACTTCTCTGGCATTCCTGGGATGCTGGTAATGACATCTTCCACCTCCTCCATGTTTTGGCTGACCTAACACGTAACTAATATAGGACTTCCTCTATGTTAACTCTGCCTTTCATGTTTTTATTTTTTACTAGAACATATCTGCCCAAACTCACATGCTAAGTGCTAAGTAGAGCAGAACTTATAAGTGGTACCTGTTAAGTGCAAGTAAAGAGATGGTGATATCTCTAACCAGAGACAAAGTAGGATGCCATGTTTGTGTGGAGATGTCACGAGGAAAATCACTGCTTTGTATACATATTTAGAAAATGGAATTAAAGTCTTATTGTCTGTTAGAATGCTTCTTGTCCTGTTGCTGTCCTTGCTTGTGTTAGTTTCAGAGCAAAACCTCCAGTAGCCCCAAAGAGCCAGACATACTCACTCATCTTAATAGGAGGATTAATGTTTCCAGTAAGTGTGAAATCAGAAGGCAAGAGCCATGTGACTTCTTTGGGAAACAGGCCTGAGAACAGCATGAATGGCTCTCCTTCTGGCAAGACCCCGAGACCCTGACCCATTCGGCCAAGCCTGTGGACAGTTCACAGCAAAACCCTGAGCGTGACCCCAGGAACATATGGGCTACGTGTTCTCCTTGCTTTCACCAAGCTAGCCACCCTGCTGGACTGAATGAGTCATAGTAGGCCATGACGTTGAATATTACATATTTGCATAACTGTTCTGGAAAGAATGATTTTAACCACAAGAGTTTTTGAGAAATGTTATTAAGTAGATGGTATGAAGAGTTAATGGGAACACTCCAGAAACAGGGAATGAAGCAGAAACATAGAAATTCACAGTACCCTCATTTCTAATAGCTGTGCCAATATCCCAAGAACTTAAGGGAGAAGGACATGCGAACAAGGAATAAACTGTGCCAACTATTAAGAGTCAGTTTTCAAGTTATGTTACCTATAGGCTAAATGGAAAAAACTGGTATATCCCCAGAGGAGATGGGATAGTATAGAATGTAGAATGGAATGATTCAGATTTGACTGCTGAGTTGATTGTGAGAACCCAGACCTTACCAGATGTAAATATTAACCACTAAAGACAAAACTGTCTCTTACCCTGCATGACGCTGTAACTGCAAATGCTGCCAACTGGGCACACTCCTCTACCTGTAGGTGTGCCTAGTTAGAAAACTTCCTTTCTAGGTTGCAAGACGGCTTATGCTTCTAACAGTAGAGATATAGATCAAGAAGCTAATGGCTACCAGTGGGAAAGCTGGGGGACAGAAGGGGAAAGAAGCAAGGAATACACTGGTAATCACTGTTAGCATTTTTAGAAACTTAGGAAGTAAAGATTGATTGTAAAATTGTTCATGCAAACCATTGAAACTGTATAAATTAAAAACAGCCCAGGATATCCAGAACCGCTTGTTTGAACAACAGGTGGTCACAATTTCTTCACGGTACTGACTTCCCACATCCATCCCAGCTCATTGAACCAGTCTGGAGCAAAGCTTTCAGCAATCAGAGAAATATTCATACAATGCACACTTTGGGAAGAGGACCCATAAAGGAACCAAGGAGTCTAGGGCTTATCTTCAGGGTCCGGTGACAGATTTCGGTAGAGATGATTTCAGCATTGAGGCAGGCTGGAGTGGTTGTGTAACTCAAGAGTCTTGGTCAAGGTGTGGTCTGGATGGACACGGTGCCAGTTTTGATCCTGTTGGATGATCTGAAAAGAATCCTTGTCATTTGAGGGGACACTGCACTTCTCAGGAGATGATGACTGGTGTCCCAGAGAGAGCCCTGACGTCACAGATAACTGTTGTGTTGCCTTGATTTATTTGCCGACTCAACACGTGCTAGAATGCCAAGGGAAGAATCATGTCTGTTGAGGAATTGCCTCCATCAGATTACCCTTAGTTAAGTATGTGGGGGCATTTTCTTGTTTGATGACTAACTTGCGAGGGCCCAGGTCACTGTGAGTGGTACCTTGCCTGGCAGGGGGTCCTGAGTTGTTTAAGAAGGTGGGTTGAGCAAGCTGCAAGAGGGAAAAGGCAGGAAGCAGTGTTCCCCCATGACTTCTGCTTCAGTTCCTGCCATCAGGTCCCTGGCCTGAGTTCCTGGGTTGGCATTCCTTGGTGATGGGCTGTAAATGGTAAAACGTGTGGTCACGGCAATAGAACCTAACTAGAGCAATCGCCTTCTTCTGGGAAAAGGTTTACCCTGCAAGGCTCTCTTGTTCCTGGGACAGGCCTTATAGACACCACTTGGAAGTCTGAACAGGAGAGCTGATAGCAATTGTCGGGATTGTTTTCTGTGGCTTCAGCCCTGAAGAGGAACCTTGTAGGTTAGGCCATACTTATTGCTAGTCAGACACTCTGCGTTCAATATGCCTGCGTGTAGAGGTTAGTGGCTCAAAGCACAGGGAGGGATGTCCAAGTTTGATCCTGTTTAATTGGCATTGTAAGACAAGCGAGGAGCCAATATTTTTCAGAAAAAAGAAATGTGTGCCTATTTAGATCTTGATCATTTTAAACCAAAATATAATTTAGAAATATGAGCATCAGAATTCTGCTCTTTGCTATGTCTTCCTGAATGCTGGTTACCTTTGCTTTTTTGATCATATTTTAATCATATTTCCTGTTGCTTTTTAGAGAACACCGAGAAAGAGTTATGCTCAATGGTAACAACCTTTATGGTTTTCTCTTGAATTACTAAAGAGATATTGGGTGAAATACATAACCTTTACAATTAGCCTTGTTTCACAACCCAACCAGCCTATCCCCGAAGTGGAAAAGTCTCCCCAAACTGAAGCAGTGGAAAAGGCAAAGGGAAGACCGTCAAAGTTAGGTAAAAGCTGCAGTTGTAATTACTAGGGACAAAGTAGGTGGGATGTTGATGTGTATAGGTGCCCCGTTCCTGTTCCACTCAATAACTCAGGAGGGGGAATTCGTCATCCCCAGCACAGGTGTTGTCAGCGACATCCACAATTCGGAAAAAAAAATGTAGGAGACGTTGACAAATGAGTTGCAACCTAGAATTTTTTCTCCCTTTCAATTTTAATGCTTTAAATTTACCAGTTTAGAATCTGTCCCTAATTGGCCCTTACCAAGGTTAATCCTGGGGCTTATTAGATCCTCCTGAAATTTAAACATGCTGGGACTTGGTACAATTGAGGACATAGCATAAGGAAACTGTATCTAATTTGTCATGATGAGGTACAGGTATCCATGGTAATGCCAGAGATGCAAATGCTGTCACAACCCAGAGTCTCAGATCCTGGAGCCCAGTTCTGGACTTGCTTTGGCACATAGCAAGATCATTTATATTCAAAAATAAATAAAGGAAAGTCCATTTTAGTCATATCCTGACACTATTAATAATTCTGTTTTTTTCCAGTTATTTTAGTGGTGTCATCAGATACATACGTGATCATAGAATAAAATATTCTATAATTAGGTATAATGTATAAATCCAAACTCATATATTCTTCAAAGTGAGTTAATTGTATTTAAAATTCCTTCATTTTTACTTTTTCTTATTTGCTTGTTTTTTAGGTCAGTTTTGAGCATTTCATATGTGTATAGAAAATAATGTGATGAAAGCCACCCCCATTAACCTCCCTTCCAGTCTGTTCACCTTGTCTTTCTCAAATAATTATTTTTCTGTTTTTTTTTTTGGTTTATTTTGTTTTGTTTTCCTGAGTGGTTCCGAATCATTCTACCTGTCCTCTAAGCTTAACCCCCACACAGAGCCGCTGTTCCAGTTCCACTCTGGCTTCTCATATGATTCAGTAGAAATAAGACACAGAAATGCTAGAAAACATTAGAGTGAGCCCCTTCAGCATCAACCACAGGAATGGAAATCATGAAGCACTCACCATGGAATCAAAATCCACAAAGAACTCAAAACTGGTAGATACCCTGCTTCCCTGCTCATCGAATATGCTAGTTGTTCATGTCCATAGCAAGAGCTCTGTTCTTCAGGAATCCAGATTAGCACTTAAAACAAGCTAAAACTCCTCATACTAGAAATTGATGTTTATATCATAAATTTCTAAATATTTCTGGATGCTTCACTTCAAGTCTGTCTAGTTTCATCTTCACTTTGTAACACTGGTTTCTATTCTGTCCTCTTCCTCTATTGGGGACCCTATCTTTGAATGAATGAATGAATGAGGGAAAAGATATTGCACCTCCCAGTCCATGAGTAGACGTGTTACACATGTAAATCAATGATTTCATGTGGTGAGGATGTAAGATGAACTGTGAATATAGTATTTACATAAGCTCCAGGAAAATCAATCCCTAAAATTTAGAGAGAGGACAAGAAAGAGTCAAAAATAAGAAAGACTCAGGTAACGGAGTGTTAGACATTTGTCCAGAATAGTGTGTAAAAACATGTTTGGCATCAGGAAGAAGTTAACAGACAAATGTGCACACAGGAGCAATATTGTGATGAATACATTTTTGAGTAGTTTAAAAGTTATTTTCAGATAGAAAATAATTTCAAGTATTAATTTTTTCAAATGATGTTTAAGAAGTTTTGTTGCTGGGGGTTTGTTTGCTCATGCATGTTCAGTGGATTAACTGTGGATGAGTCTTTGAGATGTTTGTATGTTGTCTTTAAAACACCCAATATCTGTCCAAGTTATGCATTTATGTTTTGAATGATTATATCTATTTTATAAATAAAGTGTAAAGTTTATTGGGATAATTTCTTGCGAAAATATAAATACCATTTTTATCATCATTAATGTTAAATAGCTATATGTTTCTATACAATGTCCTTCATATAATATTCTCTCTATATGTAATTTTCTATAAGTTGCTATAGAAAATATAACCTCATCTAACTCTTATTAGTAATTTATTTTCCACATATACACATGATATACACGTGTTTATTTTATCTCCAGAACCAGGCTTACAAGTGTCCTCAGAGAAAAAGTCAAAAAAGCATGTTCACAAAGAAAATAAACGACCACTGGTAAAGTTTCAATATCTCACTCAATATATTCAATATGAAGACTATTTTAAAGGCCAAGTAGAATTTTCTTCAAACTTTCTTGAAGATTTAATAGATGACTTCATGCTTCATTTTTGAAATGTTTAAACTAGCTCTAAGACTTGGATAGGACAGTGACATGTGACTACATTTCATCTTAGCCTGTAATGTGTTTTCTTATTTGTGATTTCATGTGCTTAACCTTCTCCATGGCAGAAAGGTCATGTAAGAATCAAAACTTATGGGAAAGCAGCTGAGGTTACAAACAACATAACAGTTACACGCCATGGGTATGGTTATTCCTGGGGTCAAGTATACAATGTCATGTAATTGGCCAGTAACACTTTGGTTAAACTTCCAATCCTTTCTTTGATATCTGGTTGACCTCGGTGTTTTGTAGAAAGAGGGGCTAGGAAATTTAACAGCTCCATTGCCCAGTCAGCGACTGACTGGTCCTTCCGGGAGGGACCCTCTGGGGCAGAAGTAGAGGCGATGCCTTTCCTCTTAGTCTTCATCTCAGCGAAGGAAACACTAACTATGCTAATGTTGTCCGTTGGTCTCAGTGTTCATAAGAATATATTAGGACCAAATGATGTAGATACTTTATGTGGGAAGCATGAAACTAACACCCTGTCAGGAAATGGCAGGACTGGCCTTTAACAAATGGACGCTCACATGCATATCACATGCTGCTCCATACACAGACTTGCATATGAACACATGCACAAAGTAACCTTTTGTAAGCTAAAAAAGCAACATTTGAAACTTTCTGTTCTCATTGTTATATTCTATGGGTGTGGTTCTCAAGCTGACTATCATATTTTAAAACAAAAGTTATTTATGTTGTTTAAAATATTTCAAATAACTTCTATTTTTTAATAGCAAGTAGATGTTTAGATTTTTGTGTGTGTTGCAAAAATATTCCTTTTGTTCTGAAAACCATTAGATATTCTTTTTTTTTTCAGCTGAGGATCAAACCCAAGGCCTTGTGCGTGCAAGCATTCTACCCTTGAGCTAAATCTCCAACTCCTGCATTAGATATTTTAAAGGCAGTTTCCTTCTTGAGCTTTGCATGAGAGCAAATATTGTAATTTTTTAGGCTGTGCTTACTGTCAACGTTCGTGTTTGATTAAAGACTGAGAAACCATGAAAGTAAAACATATATTTGATCTAGAGAGTCTATGCCAGGCCCTTTAGTGAAATGTATTAGTTCCAGCACATTTTCTTAACTTACGCTTAATGGCTTTCAAAATAAACATTGCGACACATTTTAGAAAATGACGGGCTAAAGATGTGCTACTCTTTCTTGATGTTAATTTTAACAGAAACTCTTTGAGAGGGCTTTTTGGGATCGTCGTTTCTCTAGAACTCGAGAAGAAAAAGGCAAAGACATCACAAAAGGAAGAGTGCTAGGTAAGAAATATTCTCTTATATGAAAACATTAATTGAGGGGCTGGAGAGATGGCTCAGCCAATGAGAACACTCGTTGCTCTTACAGAGGACCCAGTGCCCACATGGTGATCCATCATGAGCACCAGGCATACACATGCTGCACAGGTTTCTGCGGGCTAAACATCTACACACATACATTAAAATAAATACATTGAAAACAAATTTTTTGAATGTATTTGTCAGAAATATTTGATTAGCCATTTAAATGTAAAAGGAAATAGTTTATGAACTCTTATTCTGGAACTATATATCTACTCTTATCAATTTTGAAACTTATCATTCTCAAAAATGAATTCCACATTTCATTCAACTGATATGAAAACACTGTCCTTCCTAATGTTCTGGAAGACTTGGAAACCCATGCAGTCAACTTTGTCACTTACCTGTGGCAGCCATATGTCCCTCTTATATCACAACTGTCCTCCTCAGCCAAAATGCTGCCACCCATAGGTGTATACTTTTCTGCTTTAGTTACATCTTTTGGATATATCGTCACTACTTTGAAATATGAACTGCATGTTTCATTAAATATGTATTAATTTCATAGCAATATATTGCTATGCTGACCAGAGTAAATACAAAACTTAAAATAATAATTTTTCAAGTAAAGTGTGACTGTCATTCCCACCCTGTCTCTTCTTGTGTCCAGAGTGGGTGTTGTCATAATTCATAATTTTGACCATTTTCCCTATTGCCTTTTAGCATGGGGTGAAAAAGATGTTCTCTTAAAGGTAAAAATGTGCACCTTTTTTCTTGAATTATTAAGGATGTACGTTGTAAAGCATGCAACATTTACTAAATATCTTGCCTCAATTCCTATCCAGTCTACAACTACAGAGGAAGAGTCTTCTGCAGATGAAGTCGAAATAAGCTTGTTAAAACCTTTCAAATCAGGTAAATTTTAAAATTCAACATAGTATGGAAAGAAAAGTTATGCGAACTTGCTACCACTTTCACAATCTTAATTCTGTTCCCTAGTATTGATGGTAAAACCTGACATAAAGAATTCAGATTTCACTGTTGCTATCAGTATTTCAAGGCGTATCAGTATTGCAAGCATATACAGAAGATTAAACAGATGTAGGGTCTGGCTTAGAGGTTTCTAGTTTCATGCTTCAGTACCAAAAATGTACGGGTTTAGACTCTAAACATCATAGGCATATGTAAAGTCTATTATTTTGATGATTTTTTTGATTTTCCAAAATTTGAAAATACTTACTAGAGATGGGTGTCATGATCCACACCTGTGTTCTCAGCCTCTTGGGAAGCTGAAGCAGGACATTTCTTGTACCCAGAAGTTCTGTGTTGATGTGATTGCAAAGCAAGATATATTACCTTAAAGGAGAAAGCACAAAACCAAATTTCATTCCACATACAGTCCGTTTGTTATCTCTAAGTTGAGTTCAACATCCTGTACCAGCTTATTGCTGACAAATCATTACTGCAGGTGTGTAACAATCATCTGACATAATAGTGTACACTTTTGAATAAGTTACAGTTCCCAACTTTCTTACTTTTTCATCTCCTCCTTCTCCTTCTTTTCTCTTTCTCCTTCCCCTTCCTTTTCCCCTTCTCCTTCTTCTTTCTCTTCTTCCTCCTTCTTTATCTTCTCATCATTATTACTATTATTAATTATTTTGCTCAACTTTGCAGCAAAAAAGAGCACAATGCTTACAGTAAGAATTAAGTGTATTCCCTCAAAATTTACAATGAAGTAGAAATATTGAGCAACCAAGGACAATTACAAGCTTTTCGGTTTCTTTCTGCATCAATTTTTTTTTCTTTCTTCCAGTAATTACTAGCATTTCATGCTTGAGGAATTCAGATTTGTGCATTTCCATTTAACAAAATTTATTCTCTTTCTGATACTAATAAGGGTATACCCTAGATATTTCTGAAAACACTACCTCTGTGTCTGCCTTGCATCATGTCTATTTCTGTTTTGTTGCCTTCTCTGAGTTTGTCTGCCCCCATTCATTTATGCTCTACTTACACCTGTTCTCCATCACTTTTAAGATAAACAAGGACAATGCAACATGAAGAAGTTAACATACAACTCCTCAGTGACAAGACTTTCATAAGCTACCTCTGAACAAATCTCCCTCCTTGGCTCCTTTCTCCAGCATTATTGGTGTTTCCATCTTCCCCAGTAACTATCATTTTAGACAAGCACTCCGCTGAATAATCCTCTTCCTCTGATGTTATCTTTCATGTTGTCATCATTTCCTGACCTCCATCTTCCTAAAGTTGTCCTTTCAATATCAGAGCAGGCATCATCTCAAGGAAATGTACCCACTGTACATTTCAAGCACATTTTCAAAAGCCATAGACCATCACCTAGAAGGCACATAATAAGGAATTATTAAGCAAGACAGAGAGAATGCATACTTAGATGACTGAAAAGATTGCCCGCTCCAGCCTGAGAGTGAACTGTATAGACACACAATGAAAATAAGTGGTTTACAGCTCAAGGGTAATGATAAGATCTACCCATGGAGTGCTGTGGTAGTCCTAAGCAAGGTGCCACCTGCTTATCTCGGGAAACACATAATCAAGGATGACTTTAGATACTACAAGGAATCTTAACATCAGAACATGTCAGATGGTAAATCTTCAGGTTACTTGAAATTCCTTGGGAAAACAAAACTGCACTTTATTTCTTTGATTTTAAGCTGCTTCTACATATTGATATGGAGACTATTATTTTATGTTATTTTTTTAAAGTTTATGTTCACAAAATGTATAGATTTGTCTGCAGAGAATGTCATAGAAGTGTCATTGGAAGGAGAACAGAAAGGAGATGATGATGATAATGGTATTGCACATCAGGTAAGGAAACATTTAATTTTTCATTTAGTGTTTTATTGCGTTTCATAGTGTAGCATCAACCAAATGCAATCACCTTCAAGTTATCATGTGGAACTTATATAAAATTTAATTTATTTTTAGACCTAATTATAAGATTTAGAATGTTCTTAGAACTAACAGTAACTCCTCATTAAATTTTGTTCTTGAATGTACGGCATCTTTTTGCTTATTTTTGGTAATATATAACCTCTTTAAATTATACAAAGTAAAATCAAGTTGTATCTTATGGCTAGACAATAATAATTTTGAATGATGTAGAGTTGATGACGCCTGTGTCGGATTCATGCAAAAGGGTGACCGTTCCTAGTGGTTCAGAATTTGGAGCTTTACGATACCAGCAGTAACACCTAGGTTAAGATTTGGATTCTAACTTTCTGTTTCCAGTTGACTGCAATGTATTTATAGAGGCAGGGAGTAGGGTGATGTTAACACTAGCGTGTATTAAGGGCCAATAGTTCCCGGAGCTATAAGGGGGCACTAGTATACATTTGGGATGGACTTCATTTAGACACTTCATAGGCTACATGGCATCCCAACTTTCCTATTAGTTACAAATGGCAATTCCGTGTTAACTTTTGCCTTAGTGGCTAGGTAGTCATTCATCAGTCCCTCCATCCATCTGTCCAACCATCCATCCATTCATTCATTATTCATTTATTTTTCAAACATAACAAAATAAAATATCAGAAGATAAAACAACTGAGGACAGAGGGTAAAGAGTCCATCAGAAAACACAAGAAACAGAGACACACTCAGGAATCCCATAAAAACGCTAAACTGGAAACCACTATATAAACCCAGAAGATCTGGTACAGCCCCATGCAGGTCACATGCATGCTGCTTCAGTCTCTGAGTTCATGTGAGCCTTGCTCAGGTGATTTAGAGGGCCCCATTTTCTTGATGTCCTCCATCCCCTCTGCTCTTACCCTCTTTCTTCCTCTATAGGGTTCCCTGAGCTCTGAGGGCAGGGATTTGATGACGTCATCCCACTTAGGTCTGAGTGTTCCAAGGTCAGGGTCTCTCATTCTCTGCACAATGTCTGGCTGTGGTCTCTGTATCTGTTCTCATCTTCCGCAGGGGGAAGCTTCTCTGACGATGGCTGAATAAGGCACTTGAAAAAAAGAAGCTGATCTCTGTTATCTGCTTCTCACAGGACTGTGCCTCCAACTTGACAGACTGCATATATGTTTGTCTTAGTGACCGATAAGGTGACGGAGTGATGGAGAAAATGAGGGAACAAATACAATTTCTGAAGTTGTGTTGCCTTCGTTTTTTAATGACAGGAAGAAGAAACCAAGCAGACAGAGGGAGAAAGGAACCAAGGGAGTCCTCCCAGGAAGCAAACGAACAGTCCCAGTTGTGTTAATGGGAGGAATAACAACACCGATCAATTGGAAAATGTGAAGGCAAAGTGTTTTCTGTGCAAGGACTAACATAATAAAAAATACGAGTGTGCACATTCTCAAATAAACATTGCTTGGAAATAGTTTTTCTTGCTCAGTTCCTACTGTAACAATGTCTTCCTGCAAATGCTTCAGACATCTGAAATTTTGTCTCGCTGTTTCATCAAAATATACAAACATCAAAATGGAATGATAAGATATATGTAATACACACACACACATATACCTTTAAGCTTGCATATTTAACTTCACGGTAACATATGTTCTCTTTAATGTTTCTTTAACTACATTATATAGATAAGACATTAATATTCCAGAAAGAAATAGAAGACTCAACTAAGGACTCTGAGGTTTGTCCAATGCTGTTTTTCTTTTTGAAAAAAAATTCTGAATGATGTATCTGTATTAAATTCATTTAAGTAACACATCTTATGAATTAAACTTCTTTTCTCATTTGCTATCAAGTGTTACTGGCTCTACTACAATTCACTAGTTAATCTCTTTTAGCCCCAGATTCTCCAGAATTGTGTCTATAACTTGACAGACTAAATATTTTTGTTTTGGTGATTTATACATTGAGAGAGAAATAGAGAGAATGAAGAATCATCATTTCTAAAGGTTTTGCTTTCTTTGTTTTTCATGACAGGTAGTAGCAACGAAGCAACCCTTAGGAAAAGGTAAACAAGGGAGTTCTTCTTGTCACTAAATAATGAAAATTTCAGTCATAATAAAAGAGGTAACAAAAATGGTACATTTGCAAATATATGTGAAATTTATTTATGCTCAAGTACCAATATTGTAATAAAATAAGTATAGGCATCCTAAACCCTCTGCCCAGTCAGATCTTATACATTTGTTCTCAGCATCCAACCCTGTGAGTCCAGCTGACCCTCTATATAACCTTTCCAAGCACCCCAATCTTGCCAGATTCCCATATCTAGTGCTCCAGCCTAGTGTGGCTAACTCTGCTTCCACTGCAGCTACCCTCCAGGCTCTAGCCAAGACCCATTCTACCCACTCCCAACATGTGGGCTTCTCAAGAGACAACCACATCCAACCTCTCTGCCCAGCTTGGTCTTGCACTTCTTTGCCAGGGTCTAGCAGGATGAGGAGTTTGCCTCATCATCCCCAACATGCACATAACTCAACCTTCATTACTCACAATCCAGGTTTGGACCAGAATGTACATCTTGCATAACAGCCCAGCCCCCCCTTTTCCATCTGACTTCATTCCCCTGGAGCCATATTGAACGTTCAGTCTTAACTGACCTGTGCTTACCTGCCAGGTCTATATGATAAACAAAACTCACAAAAAAGTCTACATGCCCAGAGCTCACATCCAAAATACCAACAATAGGAAATATCATGACAGAGAACACCTCTTCCCAAATTCATCAGTCTTATAGAAATGTTCACCACTGAGAACCATGTATATGGATCCAGGGCACAGAATTTGAAATAATAATCATAAACTCTAGCAAAGAATTCAAGGAGTTTAAAGAAGACACAAAGAAAAAGCTCAGTGAACTTAAGAAGTGCCAGTGGCTAAATGATGCCCAAGATAATCCAATATTTTAAAATAGAGTTCAATAAATAGTTCAAAAACTGAAAAAAAACTCAAGATAAACTGAAGAGAAAATTGAAAACTCCAACAGTCCAACTAGAAAAGTGAAGGGGAAGCCTTACAAGGCAAATGAATCTAGCAGAAGGTTTAAAAATTAAGTGTATGATCTAGAGAAAATAATCAAATAACATGAAAAATTAAAAAATAAAAAATAAAAAACACCTCACCCCCCCACAAAAAAGAGATCAGAAAGGAACATTCAGAAAATGAGAAACTGTGGTTCACCAAATTCTAGAATTGTAGGAGGAGTCGATGAAGGAGAAAAATCCTAGGTCAATGGCATGGACCAAATCTTCAACAAGATCATGGAAGAACACTTCCACAAACTAAGGATATATCCATACAGAGGCAAGAAGCACGCAGAACACTATATAAGGCCAGAAAATAAATTCCCCAGAACATATCATAGTTAAAACTCCAAATGTACAAAACAAAGAAAGATAAAAGGGAAGAAAACATCTGAAGTCACATATACAGAGAAGGCCACTAGCTTAATAGCAGTGACCTGCCAGTGAAAACAATGAGTCAGAAGAGCCTGGAGCAATAAATTGCTAATCTTAGAAGACCATGACTGAAAACTTAGACTAATGTATCCAGAAAAACTATCTGTCATGGTTGAAGAAAGTAGAAAATCTTTTCATGATATAAATAGACCACATCCTGGGACACAATGAAAAAAGAAAATCTTAACAATTTCTGAAAACTCAAATCAACAACTATGTGCATCCTATCTGACTACAATGGAGTAAAACAAGATTGACAACCAACAGATCTCTAGTATGTATATAAACTCATTTGAGATTAAACAACTCATTACTAAATGATAAATGGGTCAACGTAGAAAGCAAAGGAAAACAATTCTTGGAACTAAATGAAAATACAACACTAGAAAAACTCTGGAATACTTAAAAAAAAGTCCCTTGAAGAGAATTTATGGCTGAGAAAGAGTATAAATAAACAACATATGGTGCAACTCAAGAAGTTAGAAAAACAAGAACAAACCAAAATCCTTACCTAGTCAAGAAATAATAATAATTTAATAACAAGAATAAGAATTAATGAAATAGAAGCAAAGAAAGCAATTCAAAGAACCAATGAATCTGAGTCCTGGTTCTTTAAGAAGACAAATGAGATCAACAGACTCTTGGACCAATTATCCAAAAAGAAAAAGTGACTGTTGGGTCCAAAGTAGGTCCTCCAAAGTGGCAGTGCTGATAACAATGTCCTAAGCAAAACTCTGACCAAGTAAACAGAAGTATTCCTATTGAGTAAAGAGCAGTTTAAATTTAGCTTTCACAGGGAATCAGCATGCAGTGGTATTTCACTTTTATTTTATTAAATGAAGCCTGTCTGAAGAACAGAGAGTAAAACAGCCCCTCTGGACAATCTTACAGACCAGGCAGTGGGAACACAACTTTTAATCCCAGTAGTTGCACTAGTTGCTGTATGGAGCCACCTGGAGAAATCGGCACTATAAGATGGCGCAGGCGGTCCTGCAGCTTGGAGGTAAACAAATCCTTCTTTGGAATTGCCACGTGGGGCTGAGCGCCCTTTGCTTGTACATGCGCAATTGAGCCTTTGTCCCTGGCCAATCCCGAGGCCCCAGACGCCAGCAAAATGGTATTCATCAATCAGGACAGTACCCGAGTCCCTCCACCCTATAGAAGCAGCTGCTGCTTGGCTTCCTGCTCTCTCTGGCTCCCTGCGCTCCCCCCCCTTCCTCTCTCTCTCTCTCTCTTTCGCTCTCTCTCTCTCTCTTATTGTTCTCTTTCACTTCTCGCTCTCTCTCGCTTCTGCTCTCCCTTCAACTAAGAGGCTCCAATAAAGTGTGATTTGAGAAGAATCCTCAACTTCATGGTCGTTCTTCCTTGCTGGTCAAGGGGCATGCCACAAGTTGCCATAGAAACCAGGTAGTGCATGCCTTTAATTCCGGTGGGGCACACCTTTAATCCAAGCCCTAGAGAAGATTGTAAAATGGGAAGAAAGAGCTGTCAGACACAGTCTCACTCTGAGAATCCTGGAGGCAGTATTGCCATTTTTGAACTGAGGTGGAGGTAAAAGTCAGTGGCAGGCTGCTTTGCTTTTTGAATCTTCAGGTTGAACCCCTATTTCTCTCTCGAGTTTTTTTTTTTTAATCATGCTTCATCAGCAGGTATCTGTTTATTAAGGAACCTCCCTTAATCTGACTTTAAAGGTCAACTCAGTGTCCTGGCTAGTTTTGTGTATCAACTTGACACAAGCTAGCGTCATCTAGAAAGGAACCTTAATTGAAAAAACACATCCATAAGATCCAGTTGTAGGGCATTTTCTTAATTAGAGATTGATGTGGGAGGGCCCAGCCCAATGTGGGTACTGCCACCCCTGGGCAGGTGGTCCCATAAGGAAGCAGGCAGAGTAAAGACATAGAAGCAAGTCAGTAAGCAGCACCCATCCATGCCTTCTGTATCAGTCCGTGCCAGGTACCTACTTCTTTTAGCTCCTGTCCTGACTTCCTTCAGTGATACGCAGTGCTATGGAAGTGTACGCCAAGCAAACTCTTTCCTCCCCAAGTCTTTTTGATCATAGCATTTCAACACAGCAGTGGTAACCCTAACTAAGACATTAATAACTTATTAAAGAATGACTGCTTTCAGAGAGGGACATTTTGGTATAAGGGTATAAATAAAGGCTTGCAGACTTTATTTTCAACAGACTAAGTCAGAAAATATTGTCTGTGAAATTATGTGCTGTCTTTATTGGCTGTTCTAGTAGTTCATGTTGAAACATAGGACTATGTAAGTTTCTCACTGGTAGACAATTTATGCAGATGGGTACTGTAATTATATTCTCACTGACCTTGAAGTCTTCCTGTTAATGCCTTAAAGATCTGGGATTTGAATGTTTCTGATGTTGGGTACGAGCTGTATGGCAGGCAGCTGAACATGGAATGTACCAGATACGGGAATGTGGCACTCTAACAGGACAGATAACAAGTAAGCTAGGCTCAGAGTCAGGGTGTATGATTCATATGAAAAATGGGTTTGTATAAATAATATAGATAACAGTAGTAGCTACAATAACTTAGAAGTAGGAGTGGAATCCTCTAGTCAGAGGAAATTGCCGTCTGAGATACTGAAGCTGTACCAGTTTTCAAAACATCCTTCTTTTATTTTTGTCTTTTAAAATATAGTTAGTTATCTTATGCATAAAGTTTTCTATTCGTTTTGTCTTATATTAAAGTATTTTCCACAGAAGGAGATTGATTGTTTAACTGGAAATGTCCATCTACAAGGATAAAATACGAAAATTGGAAAAATGGAGGGTAAAGCTATGTTTTCTTAAAAGTCATTAGAAGAGAACTTAAATCATGCTGATACATATAAACTACTCTCCATAGACATTGACCATCAGTAATGAGAAAGAAGATTTAATGATGTAGGAATGGCATCTCTCCATATTCTACAAGTGTCACAAATGAGG